GCTTGGGCCCTGCACCCGCATGGGAGACCAGAAGAAGCACCTGGCTCCAGGCTTCAGATCAGGGTGGTGCACCGCCTGCAGTGCGCTGGCCGCAGCGGCCATTGGAGGGTGAACCAACGGTAAAGGAAAACCTTTCTCTCTCTCTCCCTCTCTCACTGTCCACTTAGTCAAAAAAAAAAAAAAAAAAAAAAAAAAGAGAGAGAGAGAGCAGTAATTCATTGTTTATATAAAAGGCAATTCTTTCTCATTTCAAATGTAGTATACTTGTTTAAGTGGTGGCATAACAATTTCAGATACTAATAAAACTAAAACAGCTATTTGGGGCAGGTGTTGTGCTGTAGCAGGTTAAGGTACTGCTTGTGATGACCAAATCCCATATTTGTGTGCCTAGTTTGAGTTCTGAACACTCCATTTTCAATCCAACTTTCTGATAATGCACCAGGGAGGCAGCAGATGATGGCTCAAGTACATGAGAGCCTTGGGCGGAGTTCTCGGTTTCAGCCTGGCCCAGCCCAGGCTCTTTTGGTCATTTGAGCAGTGAACCAACCAATGAATGGAAGAAATCCCTCTCTCTGTCTCTGTCTCTGACTCCGTCTCTGTTACTCTGCCTTTCAAAGACATCAAAAAATTTTTGAAAATTATATTACCTCCCTAAAAATAAGATTCAAATAAGCTATATTCTCAGTGGCATTATTTACAAAAGAATAATTTGCATTTGCTTAAACTTAATTTTTGTTTATTTTTAAATGGACCAACCCTAATTTGAACAATTCTTACTAACAAGAACATAATATGCAGCTGATACTAGCTGTTGATAACAAGGTAATATATCTTGGGCTTTGTTCATGTTTATTTTTCTAGTTTAATATCTTCATTTTTCTCTTCAACTTGATATTTTTAAGGTAAATTTAATTTTCTCTTAGGCACTTCCTTATGCTATTTTATAAAGATACATTCATGTTACAGATGATAAAAGGAATGGAATGTATGGAGACAGAATAAAGTAATATGATAATGCAAATTAACATCATTGCTCTTCATGTGTGAAGATTATCCTTGAATAAAATTAATCACTAATTAGTTCATCAGGACTACTTTTAATATGCAATTCTTAATCTCTTGGAAAAAATATAAAATAATTAAATGCATAAACAAAAATACTTTCTAAAATTCACACAGCATTTTATTTCCTTATAAGTTGTGGGAAAACAAGCAAAATATAGTCCTCAAGTACATTTATGTTTAGAGAATTTTTTAACAGATTGTGTGAATAGTTGTATAATATCAGTCTCAAATGGACAAATGCTGGAATCAAATGTAAAACATGAATAGCACACACACAATCACAGCTAAAATTACACTCTGTATTTGAATTTTAAACTGCAGAAGGCAAAGGAGGTCTAATATATGTTGCTGTGCAACAACACCTGCACCCTCCCCTGTCTTACTATGGCTTCTTGTCTGGCCATATAATCATCTCCTCTCACTTGTAGTCCTACAATGAGGCCATCTGTCATGATGTGACCTGCCAATCCAGGCCTCCCCAGACGTCAAATCCAAGAGCCACTCAATCATAGGCTTGACAATTGTAAGCTAAACAGACTATTTTTACTCATATAGTAACAAAACTCAGGCATGTGAAAAATAGCAATGAAAGGCTATTACATGGTTATTGAGTTGGGACAGCCATATTTTCCTAGCTTTCTATATCTATACTCCTGGTTCTTGGGGCTTCAGACTCTGGAACTTACACACTCTTCCCAACCTCAACCCCAGTTTGTAAGTCTTCAGCCTCAAATTGAGAAGCCACACCATCAGCTTCCCTTTTCTTCACGCCTTCAACTTGGACCAAATCAGAGCACCAGCTTTCCTGGTTCTCTTGTTTGTAAACAGCTGCTATACTCAGGTATGGCAATTCCCATTATAAATCTATTAATCTATTTATACATATCCTATTGGTTCTGTTTCTCTGGAGAACTTTGAATAACAAATGTGTGAAATGTTGATTTACACAGAAGAGCCCACGGTACATTTGCCTTGTACCAGTTAGCCTAATTTCTAAAAAAACATGGCCTATATCGAGTGACAATACTGGCTACATAGATATTTTTTTACAATCACTACAGCTCAAAAATTTCAGATAAAGGCTTAAACACCGCAAGCCATAGATTTTCATATACGCTTGCTCAAGACTGTACATTGAGGATAGTATACTTGACCTGAACCAAAAACAGAAAAGCAAAAATAACCTAAGAGTTAAAAGCCAAAAGATGTCCCAGATAAGTAGGGAATGTTGCTATTAATGGTAACTTGGGAATCAGAAGAAATAGTTTAGTACTTTCAAATCAAGGTCTTTTGAAATATTGTTAGTATATTTTTAAAGTAGCCTAGTTAGGTCAGAATATGATGCTGCAAAGGGGAATGCCTTCCTGGGGGTAACATAAAACACATACTTAATTGAGAGTCCCGATTTTACTGTGAAATAGCTCTAAACTTTTTAAGAGTTTATTTCATATTATTATCCAGT